TAGCAGTGTAGTGACCATCCATGTGCAGCACGCATAAGTTTATGTTAATAGAAGTCGCCACCTGCGTGAACGCTTACCCACTAAAACGCGTGCACTGGTCTGCCTGCCTGCGTCTGGCCAATCAATGTCCCCGCAGACTCTCAAAGCACCTCCGTGCGATGACTGCCTTCGCTCTCACCACTCCGGATGCCGCCAAGCTAGAGGACGGACTGCGATCGCCCGAGTGTCAGCTTCCTCGCCTTACTATTCTCCATTCCTTCTGTACAGAATACACTCTTCCTTCATCTTGGCGTTTCATCTCTTCCAATACACTCAAAAAGCCGGACTTAAGGATCGTGCTGGTTAGTTTTTAACCGTATTGACTTAATATCCTCACGATACTGGCAACCCCGACGTGATCTACACTGATGAGTTCAAATTCCTCTCGCTTTCAACTGCATTTTTCCTGTGTCCTCCTTGGTGGTCGCGATACGCAGAGTTTCGTAACCTGCATCCTACCGTGTAAAGAAATTAATATATTTAACCCCACACAGCCCATCAAATTTCGGTCATGTTTCATTCCCTATCCAACACAGCAGTCCTATTTTGAGAACCAGCATCCAGATATCCTTACCATCATCTGATCCTGCGTCTACTGCTAACGGTATCTCACAAATCAATCCGTACTGGCACGACACACCGATATGCCATCAATGCTCGTTTTCAAGAGATGAGTTGCTGTAAAAAGCTTTTTTTATTGGTCCCAGGCGTATAAGTTTGTGACTAATTTTTCCGACGTTCATTTTCCTCGTCAATGATTCGACAGGTTTAGGTAATTCGAAAACCATGACCCAAATAAACACTTGCTTTAGAAAGAATGCCCAAAAACTCCCAAATTAGGTACGTGCGCTTAATAAATACTTATTTGGGAATGTTGGTAAGCACGTAATATAACATCCATATTTATTGTTAATCGACCGGAGTCAGTAAAAATCGTTCATGGATATTCACAATTTCAAGAACAATCTCAACTTCGTCAAAATTTAAATCACAAAGAAATCTTAGTGTACGCAAAGTGGAATGTTTACAGGTGCATCTAAAGATTCCACTAAAATGTTTTAGTCATTGACCAGTGAGCTTACAAAGTATATTACTCCCGTGACCTTATAATCAGTGCAGCAAGCGAAACAATAGTTTCTTTATTCTAGTGTAAATCCAGCAATGTATAAGCAGAAGAAACAATTAGCAATTCCCGTGAAAACAGTCGGAATACAACATCGAACATACAACATTGGACTATTCCGTAACATGCATACGTTACATTGCACGTAATATGGAAGTCTATGTACCCAAAATCTTCATAACACCTATTTTCCAACGTGCTTCTACCTGTGCTGCTTTATTCACTCGGTCTTTTTTGCACGAGCATGCTTGATGCACATCACCAACTTCTTAGTTTTCTTTATTTTCGCCTTCATCTTCTTTATCTTCAAGTTTACCTAGTACTCCCGATTTTCACTTTTTATTGAATTTGGCTAGTGAAATAGATCCGACAGAGCAAGCGGAGAAAAGGATGGCCATTTCTGGCTTGTAAGTCGTCTTCAACATCTTTTTCATTCCCATTTCGCTCTTTACCCTTAACAAATTGAAGTACGCTGTTTTTTAACTGTCTGATTGCTGTCGGAAAAATTTTTACCGTCTTACTGGCACGTCAGCTGGTGAAAGTAATCGCATCGAAGGCCTCCGAAAGAAATATGAAAGCTGCCTATGGTTGGTGTAATTTTCTTACCAAAGCCGCACTGCAAATAAAATAAAAACTGGGGATTCAGCGTCGAATATTTACTCAATAAAATTACTCATTTCCCAAAAGATGCCTTTCCATGAAATTACATTTCTTGGGATGCCTGCCT